TCCAAGTGCTATGATTTCTGTCAGCTCACAGCTATCCTAACAGTTGTGCTAAATTTAATTCCTATTCACAAGTAAAGAAAGCCAAAAACCAGGGAAAGAGTTCAGCTTGCTAAAACTGGTACAGATGATTCTAGAAACTAGGTCTCCTGCTTCCCAGACCAATGCTCTTTGCTAAATGAGAACTCACAGGTAAAAGTAATTCTTATCCCATGAGAATTTAAGAGCATGCATATCTTTTCCCCCCAAATTTCATCAGCTTACCTTGCTGCCATCTTTCATTGGAGCCATATATCTGCATCAGAGAATACCCTTTGATCAATCAACTGCTTAGATACCCAAATATATTTTCAGTTTTTATTGGTTTATTAGAAGGAAAAATGCATGCTGCTGATGATGATATGTGTAATAACTGCAAGCATCTATTCACAGCTCAAGGAGTTAACTGCCCAGGGTGAAACTGTAATAGTTCAAAATGACAACACTCTGCCCCCTTCCACACTCTCTTTCCCTCACAACAGGGGAAAGGATGTGAAAAAACAAATCAACAGCATGTGATGGCCTCACTACATTCCCACAGATCCATCTGCTCAACAGATCTCAGGGCAAATACTCTCCTTGGAAGTAGTAGAAAGAGAAGGACACTTTGCAACGGGAAACAAACTTGGGTGTTACAACTTGACCTTCCTTGTCCCTTTCATAGGTAACTACATTTGAAGGGTACACATTCCAATAACAGGTTTTCTCTTCCCTCTGGTTTGCAAAACCTAAGCTTTCTAGCCAAGGTGTTTCAAACCTGCCTTGAAAAGAAAAACTTTGAAACACATCCATTTTCACGCCTGAAAATAGAAGAGTATAGCACAGATGGCCAAAAGGGCCAACATCTAAAGAGAAACATTAGTGCACCTTACTTTTGGTCACTTCTGAGAAATTTCTGCCAGTGTTATATATTCTGAAACTTGCATTTACCAGATTTTAAAACTTTTTTACTGCTAGTCCCAGGCCCTTTTATTTATTTATTTGCAAATATAGGTTTAAGAAAGCATAATGTAATGAGAAAGCCTGGAGAAAGAGAAAGAGATCCAAATCTGGGTTAAAATTCCAGACTGGTTATTTAATAACTATATGACTTGGGGCAATTTAGGCAATTGTCTTTAGGCATCTATAATATTGCTGATGATTGGAGTTTCTGTGGATTATACAAGAACAGGTGAGCACAGGGTAATATCATAGGCATTCAGAAAGTATTCCTATTCCTTCCTAATGCAAAGTGAGTGTTCAATCTCAAGATAAACTGAAAAGGAAATTAAATCAAATTAATCAGATATCAAAGCAGTTCTCAATATCAAACATAGCATTGCCCTAAAACATTACTTTCTAATCTTTTCATATCTGATATTATAAAGATATACAGCAACTAAAACATAGGACTTAAAATGATCCCTTTCTCTGAAGTTCAAAGAAACAATCCTTAGGACAGTTCTTTGACAAAGGAATTGGAGGACTTATATTTTATGTTGTAAACTGACTGCAAGTCAAAAATCAGTGAACAGTGTCATGATGGAGTGTCTAATGTAAAAAAAAAAAGGTATTCCTGGATAAAGATCGTCAGTTTTTCGTGACATGCACTAAGAATCACCTTAACAACATCAACTTTGAAAATAGAGAAGGATGGATTTGTGTGTGTGAGAGCCCAACAATTAGACAATGTTTAAGAAATATAATGGAGACCCACATGGATATTTAATCATAAATGTGTGATACTCAAAAAAAAAAAAATACAGTCCAAAGTTACCTACAAAATATATCCCCTAAAAGAACAAAGATGAAAGTAAATAACTGAACTCATAATTTGAAACATTTCCATTGAAAAGTGTAACAAACACTGAACATGTATGGCAGTAGTGTATATATGCATGCAAAGGTATATCACTTTACAGGTGTACCTGAAAGGGAGGTACAAAGATGCAAATGGTTAAATACATACATTGAGTAATATTTTATCTTAAATATAAGTTTTTCAACTATTATAATAATGCTGAACATAAGCTTAGGGGGGGAGATTCTCTTTAGGAGGATTAAACTTCTAAGATGTAGATCCACTTTTTACTAGTAATTATTCACAAAAAGTTTTTTTTTTTAAAGAGAATTTTTTTTAATATTTATTTTTTAGTTTTCAGTGGACACAAAATTTTGATTTTTATGTGGTGCTGAGGATGGAACCCAGCGCCCCGCGCATGCCAGGCGACCTCGCTACCGCTTAAGCCACATCCCCAGCCCAAGTTTACCCCTCTATTGATCTTAATTCAGTCTTTTGCCTTGTCATCTCTTCTTTCCATTCATATGCACTAATTTTTTGGATGTGTACAATTCAACCTATGCAAACTGATGATGGGAGGGGTTATAGTCATTGAGTAAGTTTGGACTCTTAGAGAGTTCCTGCAAAGAAATAAGATGAGCCACTGTCAAGATAATTTAACTTAAAAAAAAAAAAAAACTGTCATTTTAAGTTTTATTTACTTTTCCCCAAGGGTTTAAATACTATAGAGCTACAGGTTGGGAAGAACTATTTCCCTAACCCAAAAGGGCTCGTTAATACTGAAGTAAATCAAACTAACAAAGAGATGCTTGTACACTTTTCTATACAGTATTACCTCTAGTTTCCCTCCCACAACCCATACATGATCTGTATAAGAAATAAAACTGATGTTATTAACACCAACATAACTCCTGTTGTCTAAGGATAGAGAATTCCTCCACATATTATATGCTTTACAATCTGCCATCTAAAACTTCTCCTTCAATCTTGATCTCCAGACTCAAATGCTTTCAACTGATTTTTCAAGCAATTCAAAAGAGAAAAGCAAAGTTAAGAACACAGTATATACAACTTCAGAGAAAAAAAAAAAGACAAGAAATATCATCTACACATGGCACTAGATAATTTGGGAGTGTTTTCTTTGATTCTGCTCATAGATTTTCCCAAGAGGAAATGGAACTCAGTTGGAAGAGTACAAATGTGTCCCTAACAGGGTCCCCAAGCTGAGAAAGTTGTGTGTTCAAAAAAGTTCAGCCTGGTATTTTTGGATTTTGTTTTTTGTTTGAGAGGCTCAAAATATTGTAAACAACTTTAAAAAGAACTGCATCCAGTAACTGTGAGAGACATAGCAGAATAAAAGCAACCATAATAATCAACAATGGCCCCATGGAGCTTGTGACGTACAATCATAAAAGTCTACATATTAACTTTGTGACTGCTAGACTTAACAGGAAAACAAATCCACCATGTTAATGAAGGGACATTATTTTTCTAAAGATTAATTCATACCATGTGTTATTAATCAACAGGGTAACTGAAAACTCATGCAAAAAAATGCTATTCCAGTTGAGCAGAACTTAATTGCATTATTGTTATTATGGCTGCTGCACTGGTTTCCCTGTGTCACTGGCTCCTCGGCTCCACGTACTCATACACAGCACCACAGTATGGAGGGGAAAAGCAAGGAGTTAAAATCACGTCTTGTAGGAACGGTTTGAAGAAAAATGTTTGTCTCTGGAAAGACGGGTCAAGTATGTACCCAGGCTGCCTTGAGAAGTAATTAAGCCTAGGCTGTTTCGTTTCAGAGTGTCCCATCTTGCACAACGTGGAAGCAGCTGTGGGAGATCACAGGCGTTGCAAAGTAAGACAGGCAACATCATCTAGCTCCTCCACTGAAACACCAGTTTCCAGGTGGCCTGAAAAAGCTCATAGCCTCTGCTATCCCAGCAAGCACAAAGCTAACCTGCCATCCCCATGCCAAACAAGAACCTTTTCAAGTCCGGAAGAAATGGAATTTAAATGTCCCAGCCACCGTTCAAAACATCTGAAAACTGGTTTTTGATCTGGGACTCCAGTCACTCCCCAAAACTGTTAGGCTACATGCCTCAAAACCTGCAGGTAGTCACAGACGTTGACTGCCCAAATTACAAGTTCCTCTTGCTGCCTAATGTTGTCAGGTTTGGGGATAACCAGTTAGGAAAAGGGAAGTGTACAAGTGTGAGGAATAGGAATGCGTCCCGTCTTGCTCGTTTCCTTCCCAACATCCCTTAAAAAGAGGCTGAGCACTAAAACTGTTGGTCTGGGGACCAACTACATCTCAGACCCTGGCTGAGCAAGGGAAAAGTCACCACTCCCGCTAGAACTCACAGTAGGATAGTCTCTGACTGGGAAGGGCCCAGAAACTTAGTCCCAGTAGAAAAGAAGAAAGAAGGGAATTTTCAGAGTCTTGGATATAAGAAGCTGGGAGAAGAGGGGCGGGGGTCGCCCGTGTAGTCATAACAGCTCTCAAAATGCCGCTGCAAAATTGCACATTTTTTATGTGATTTAAGACTAAAGAGAACACACTGAGATTCTCCCCCGCCTGGGCTTCAGATGCCGCCTCCCCGCTTAGGGACCTGGGCATCCCACTGCTGCAGGTCTCCTCCTCTTTCCCTTTCGGGGGAGCTACAGCTCTGCCAAACCACAACGTCCGCCCTCCAAGTTCGCCTTCGCTAACCGCCCGACTCAGCGCCTGCGGCCAGCCACCTGCGCCCATCTGCCAGGGACCCCACAGGCCCAGGGTTGGGCTCCCGAAGTGTAGTTTGCATGGGGCTCAAGGTTTACGGGGTTTTTGTTTTTAAAACAAAAAGCCTTAGCGGCTCATCGCCCCCTCCTCCCGGGCCCGCGCCACCTTCCCTCCCCACACTCGCAGTACCACCCCAACACACGCGTTGCGAGGTGCCTCTCCCGCCAGACAATGGGTTCGGGGCTGGCCCGGCAGCCCGCTCCGAGCCCCTATCCCCATCCCGGCACCACAAGAGGTCTGAACGTGAGGTACTCGAGGGGGAGGGAGGCAAGAAGCAAGGCGGGGAAACCACAATGGAGAAGGTGAAAGCCTCCCCCTTGGGACAGGAGGCTTGCACCCCGCGCGGAGCGAAGGGGAGGGGGCGGAGGTCCCCGCGCCCCGCAGCCGACGCGCACTCACCAGCACGATGGCAAATCGCTCCTCCAGTTCACCTGGCTCGGGCATCGGCAGCTTCAAAGGCACGTTGTGCGCTCTGAAATCGGTCTGCTGAGAATCCATGCTCCCTGCGTTGCCCATGTCGGCTGCGCGTTGGAGTCAGGGGTTGCTCCGGGCCCCTCGCTCCCGTGTCGGAAATCACAACAGCTCCCGGCGGTCGACTCTCGCCCGCTGGCGGACCTGCCTTGCTCCCCGCCCTCCGCCGCGCCCCGGAGACTGTGCAGCGCACGCCTCTCCTAGCAGCGCTCCAAGCCCAGCCGCCCCCCGGCCTCCCTCATGCTCTCCGCCGCCCCAGCGCGGCCCCGGCCTCTTTTCCACAGGAGGGGTCGTCAGGGCGCCGGGCGCCTATGTGCATGTTGCTCCGCTAGCACACCGCCCCCTGCCAGCGATCGCGGTCAGCGGGCGCGTGCTCCCTCCTACTCGATCTCCCGCCGGGGCCGCGGCCGCAGCTGACACTTCCAGACCCCAGCCGGCCACCCCAAAGCACGTTCAACGAACACCTCAGGCAGACAAATGCGGCTCCGCTCTCGCCGACACAATGCCCCCTCTCGCCGGCCCCCGCCCCCGGCCCAGCTCCGCCCACCGGCCCCGCAGACTGCCGGGACAAGTAGTTTCTGCCCTAACTGTCCGGACGCAGAAAACACGCCCGCTCTGAAGGGCCGCGCGGGGTTGGGACTGTTCGAAGCAAAAGCAAGCTAGACGCCTCTGGAGATGGTTTATGTCACTCTTGATCTCCCACACCCCAACAGTAGAAATTAATACCTCCGGCACCTCGTGTCTGACCCTTAGGCACGTTTGACAAGTGGATGAATGAATCCAGTCAATGGGTGAATGCAGGCATTCTGATTTAAATTCAGAAGATCTTTACTATTGGAAAGCATATAGTTGAAGAAGGGACTTCTAAAGTATTGCCCACGTTATTTAATAAACTGGGAGTGGGACCATGGGTGCCTTTGTGTTCTTTTTTTCTTCATATATGCCGTTATATGTTCTTTAATGTGACTGAAATGTTATAAACAGAATATATATCATTTATGATATATGTAGTTAGATCCTAGGAATTGAGTAAGAAAGACTCAATTCTACTGAAAAAAAAAAAAAAAAAAAAAACCAAGCACTCATAGCTGGGTGCTGTGGCGCACTCCTGTAATCCCAGCGACTCAGTAGGCTGAGACAGAAAAATCGCCAGTCTCAACAACTTAAAGATACCCTGTCTAAAAAATAAAATGAATATATAAAAGTGTCTGGGAATGTAGCTCAGTAGTAGAGTACCCCTAGTACCTCAAAAAAATAATAATAAAACTCACCTGTCAAACACCTATTATGCTCTGTATGAGTTACTCTTTTCCATGGGGGGGGGGGGGGAGAGAGTGTTGCCCATAGTCTGCAATGCCTCCCAGTCTAGTAAAGAAAAAAATTTATACAAATAACCATATTTTCTATGAGATTAATAGAATGACAGTATCTTGGGAGGTAACTCTTATTCCTCCAAATCAGTCTTGTGCCAGGTATTTTCAGAAAAGTCTGGGCCCAAGCCTGTCCTCTAGGGTGTGTTTCAGAGGATTACTACCCATTGTGAACCCTTGGAAACAGAAACAACCTTACCAGGTACCCGTGTAGTAGATTTCAAGGGCCTCCACCTGATTTACTTGTGGCAGAATTCCTGCATTTAGTTCTTTCATAGGGTAAGGTGGTGTTTCGTTAACCTTGTTTATTAGACTCACTTAGGGGAGCTTTTTGTTAAAACTACACACACCTTGGTCCCTGCATATATACCAGAATCTCCCTAAGCAGGAGCAAGTATATTTTTAACAGGGTCACTCTAGTAATTCTGATGTGCATTTGTCATTGTTATTCTCATGATTAGGAGGAAGTACATCTAGATGAGGTAATTACCACAATTCAGTCACCAAGGACCACATTTCATTTGGCTTTATAAACTCCAAGATAGATTGAGCATAGTAGATGCTCAATGACTTGTTGAAGTAACAGGAGGCTTTCACCAAAAATGTAGAGAGCAGATACCCACAAATATATTGCATATGTATCCTAATAAATAAACCACTTCTAGACTGTTTTAAAAGGGGAGAGACTATAAAATTCTGAATAAATGCAATCTGTATTTCTAAAGTGAGACTCTATCAAAGTTAGTGACAGCTGCCACTGATCTAAGAGTAAACAGATACAGATACACCAAACTAATGAAAATGAGTGAGAAAGAAAGCAGCTAGCTAGATCAGGTGAGACATTTTTAATCCAAGAATGTATTAATTTTACTGTAATAATTGGGTCTCAATGACTCAGAAAATAAGTCCACCAAGAGAATTGCTGTCTGGGCATAAAGTCTGAAATTCTTTTCTGTAGTCAAGAAAGCCTTTTTATTACATTTATGGCTCCCTCTGGTCATATTTCTGCCAGTAACCAAGACCTTTTTCTCCCCTTCAGTCTTATCACATCTAATTTCTCTTATAATCTCACACTTTGAGAGAAGCCAAGGACAAAGTGTGCAAACTCATGAACCAAAAGTACTTTTTGGCCATTTCAAGTTTTGCCTTCTCTAATATTTGATTGTTATTTGTAACTATTATTAAAAGTAGAAATAAACATTCCATAGGATTGTGAAATTCTTGAGGGAATTAATCAACGTATCAGGAAAATTTTTGTTTTGGTGTGAGCACAATGACAAAGAAAGGAGAAGACATTTCTATTACTTAGACAGTAGCACTTGTCATCCCCACAAAATTAAAGTCAGGCAATCATTTTAAACTACATATGCCATTTTCTGACCACTAATATATATGATTTATTATGGCCAATGTTGTAAAATATGGAAAAAAGAAATTGTCTTTTGAAACTGTCTATTCAGAGTTGGAGATGTGATAGTTGATAGAGTTCTTGCCTAGAGGAGACAAAGCCTTAGGTTCGATTCCCAGCACCACCAAGAAAAAAACAAAAATCTACTCGACTGAAATGTTAGAACATTCCAAGCATCAAGAATTTGGAAGCTATGCCAGGGATGGCTTGGTCAGGGATACCCCAAAACGATTGTGATTGCTTTCAAAGATACTCTTTCATCTTTTGTAACAAATACTCCTACAAGATTAGCATTTGAGGGATTGAAACTGTTTTATGGGTATTTCCTCAAGTTTTAAGCATAAGGAACAGCTTTGTAGATAGGTTTACTTATTATCCTAAAAAGGGAGTAATAAAACCCTAAAATTCTCCTGGTTTGTGTAGTTATGTAGAAATGAGGTAATTGATGTGATAAACACAACCACTGATAGTCTTGGATCAAAACTGTGAAATAGTAGTATCCAAAATTGTAGCAGGATTGTTACTGACCAATATATATCTGCAAAAGTTTCATGATTCACCTATTCATCTACTTTCATTTGAAAAGTAGTTATTGAGCACTAATCAAGAGATACTGCTCTCAATTTTAAACAATGTTTAAACCCGACTTTTTCAATTTTTGCTTCAGATAGCCTTCTTCAAACAATGAACTGACAAAAACATATCTCAACTCTCCAATTTCCCACTCTCCTCTTGAACCAATTAGGAATGCTTTTGTCATCCAATTAATAATGGCTTTAATAGTTTCTTGATATTTTTCTTATATTTCAAGAAATCTGAAGAAAGGTGGCTGCTAATATTTGTTCAGAAACTCCATAAAACTATGACTAGTATCTGTGTGATGTCTTGGTCCTTCCTAGGTACTTATAAAATAGCTGCCAGAGTGCTATGATCCAAGTCTGTATTCAGGGTGGGATGTAAGGTAAAGAGACAACATTGTATAAGTCTAAACTCCCCATGCAAAAAGGAATTCTCCTAGCAGACAGCTTTCCAACTTGAACTGCAACATGGGCTCATTCCTGGGTCTTCAGTGTGCTGACTCACTAGCAGATTTTGGATTTGCAAGTCAATTTCTTAAAATAATCTCAGCATCTCTCAATATAGATCAGAGATATAATTCCTTCTTGCACAGTATATACATGGACTATCCATATATGTGTATGTGTGTAGAGAGGGGAAATATAATATGTATACAATACACACACACACACACACACACAAACACACACATTGTTGGTTCCATTTCTCTGGAGAACCCTATATCAATTAATAAAAAAGGCTAAATGATTTCTTGCTAATATCAGGCATGAATAAAAAATATCTGCTCTTATAATTTTTATTCAATATTTATTTACTATTGTCCTAGAAATTCTAGCCTGTGTAATAAGACGAGAAAACAAAATTAAAGGTATTCAGTTTCAAACAGAAATAGTAATCTGTCTTTATACACAGATGACATGATTTTCCACATAGAAAATTTTATGGAATAGAATCTTTAAAATAGCAGCCAAAAGTAATATTTTAGTTTAACAAGGTTTCTAGATATAAAATACACAAGTCTCAAATAAATGTATTACTACATAGTAGGAATAAACCTTCAAATATTTAAATAGACATAATATTCATAATAGCATCAAAAACATAAAATACTGCTGGGTACAGTGGTACATACCTGTAATTCCAGTGGCTTGAGAGGCTGAGACATGAGAATCATAAGTTCAAAGCCTGTCTCAGCAAGGATGAGATGCTAAGCAACTCAGGGAGATCCTGTCTCTAAATAAAATACAAAATAGGGCTGAGATATGGCTCAGTGGTTGAGTGCCTCTGAGTTCAATCTCTGGTACATTCCCAGCCCCACAAAAAAAAAAAAAAAAGAAAAAATATATATATGTATATAAATACACACACATAAAAATTTTTATGTAAAAAAACTCATGTAAAATTTGAAAGCAAATCAGTGATTGGGGAAGGGAGGAAAATTGGGATGCAGGAATTCCAAAGATTCTCAGAGCACTTTTGGGGGTGTTGGATATGATCATTAACTTGATTATGGTGATAGTTTCACATATGCCAAAATCATATTGGACAGTTTAAATATATATATGTACTATCCTATTATTATTAATTATACTTCAAATACATATATATATATATATATATATATATATATATATATAAAATACTTGGGAATAAATCTGACAAAAGATGTACAAGATACAAACCCTGAAAACCACAATATGTTGTATCCAAAGATTAGGAGATTTATTATTTTTAAGATGACAATTTCCCCAAATTCAACTACAGATTTCATGTATTCCAAAACTAAATCCCATAACACTTTTTAAATAGAAGTTGGCAGGCCAATTCTAAAATTCATGTGAAAATACAAGGACCTAAAACACAGAAAACAACTTGATAAAGAACAACGGGTAAGGACTAATGCTACCTGATTCCAAGACATTACACAGCTATAGTAATCAAGAGAGTATGATTTTGGCATCAAGATAGGCAGGTAGGTCAACAAAATAAAATGAAGAATCCAGAAATATGGTCATAGATGTATGGACAATGGGTTTTAAATAAAGGAGCAGTGGCAATTGAATGAAAAAAAAGATAGTCTTTTCAGCAAATTATTACGGAACAACTCGATATCCACATGCAAAAACTGAACTTTGATACACACCCATACTAT